CAGCATGACCACTATACCACTTGCATTCAACTGAACAGACTTTAGAGACCAGCCTTGGACCTCTATTTGGGATCCCATGATTTCAGACAGAATAGTTACACTTAAGAAAGAGTTGAGACCCAGCTTTGTGTAAGTCAGAGTACTTCTCAAAAATATACCACCGGGGGTAAATGTAAACAAGCGACTCATTCTTAATCAGGGTGCCATGAGATCCTTTTAAGGGTACCGTGGCTTGCTACTCAATATTAGCACTGGTAAGTATGCAAACACCTACTGATGATTCATCAGATAAACCCAGAAATTTCAAATAGGAATCCATAGTGTCAAAACTGGAGCAGGTCCTCAAGGAATTCATTTCTAACGCACTTGGAGGAGAAGGTGGTGATTACAAGTAGTCAGCATCGCTTCATCAAGGGCAAGTCATGCCTGACCAACCCGATTGCCTTCTATGATAAGATGACTGGTTCTGTGGATGCAGGGAGACCAGTGGGTGTTATTTACCTTGACTTTAGTTTCCCACAACATTCTTGCAAGCAAGCTAAGGAAGTATGGGTTGGATGAATGGACTCTAAGATAGATAGAAAAATGGCTGGATCATTGCGCTCAGAGGGTAGTTGGCTTGATGTCTAGTTAGTAGCCAGTATCAAGTGGAGTGCCCCGGGGTCAGTCCTAGGGCTGGTTTTGTTCAATATCTTCATCAATGACCTGGAAGATGGCATAGAGTGCAACTTCAGCAAGTTTGCAGATGACACCAAACTGAGGGGATTAGCAGATATGCTGAGAGTAGGGCTAGGATTCAGAGAGAGACCTCAACAAGTTCTTGAAGACCAAAAGAAATCTTATGAAGTTCAATGCAGACTAGTGTCAAGTCCTGCACATAGAACAAAACAATCCCATGCACCAGTGCACGCTGGGAGCCGACTGGCTAAGCAGCAGCTCTGCAGAAAAGGACCTGGGGGTTACAGTGGACAATACGCTGAATACAAGCCAACAGTGCCCTTGTTGTGAAGAAGGCTAATGGTATACTGGGCTACATTAGTAGAAGTGTTGCCAGCAGATCAAAATTTTGGCAGCCGTTTTATTTTGGAGGTGTTTCGGGCCATTTCAGCACCTGAAACACCAAATCCAAATTGAAACGGAAGGCTTTGAAACATTTTGGAAATGTTTAGGAGAATTTTTGAGTTTTGAAACTGGGCTTGCAGTGAAACAAAAACTAAGAAGTGGGGGAGGGGAAAATGGGCAGCAGAAAGGACTGTTCTGATATCGATGTCTAGCTCATGGTTTGATTCCCCAGCTCTCCGATCACTTTCCCCAGATCTTCCCGGGGGGGTGCGAGACCCCGATCTACATGCAGGGTTTTAGCAGGCTATGCTGAGCGTTGGGAAGACTGCGGTGCTGCCCCTGACCCAGCCTGCAGTGGCAGCCTGCTGAAACCTGGCGCGCAGATCTGGGGGCCTGCACCCCACCCCCGGGAAGAGCTGGGGGAACGATCAGAGAGCTGGGGAATCAAACTGGGGGCTGTGGAATCCATGCCACATGACCTGGCTCCGCAGGGAGCAGAGATCCGCACTGGGGTCTCCCTCCCCACCCTGTGCAGCCCCAGATCTCTGCTGCCTGCAGAGTCAGGTTGCACAGCAGGGACCTGTGGGCTTGCTCACCGCTCTGCACTGCTTCTCTGCCCTGCGACCCAGTGTGACAAAAATCAGATCCATGCAGAGGTCTCCTTGCCTGCATGGAGGGCAGTGGTTGCTCCCCCTCCTCCCCTAGACAAGCCACCCATGGCCCCGTCCTACTCCCTGCTGGGGCCCTGCCGGCCCCAAGCCCTGCCTGGCTGGGCAGCAGGGCTGTGCAAAGCTTCCCTTGCAGCCTGTTTGAAACAGATTCAGCCTAAACGAAACAGGACAGCGATCCAAAACACTGAAACTAATCACTCTCCTCTGAAGTGGCCAAATCCAAAACTAAATCGAAACACAGCCATTCCACACAGCCCTATTATTCACCTCTACTTCACACTGGCAAGGCCACATCTGGAGTACTGCATCCACTTTTGGGCCTCCAACTATACAAAGGATGTGGACAAATTGGAGAGAGTCTTGTGAAGGCAAACAAAAATGGTTTGGGGATTTGGGGAATTGATACATGAGGAAAGACGGAGGGAACTGAGCTTATTTAGTCTAGAAAAGAGAAGACTGAGAGGAAATTTAATAGCAGCCTTCAACTACATGAAGGGTGATTCTAAAGAGGATGGAGATAAACTGTTCTCAGTGATGGCAGATGACAGAACAAGGAGTAACGGTCTCAAGTTGCAGCAAGGGAAGTTTAGGCTACACATTAGGAAAAACTCTCTCACTAGGAGGGTAGTAAAACATGGGAACAGGTTACCCAGAGAGGTTGTGGACTCTCCATCTTTGGAGGTTTTAAAATCTTGGCTAGACGAAGGCTTGGCTGGGATGATCTGGTTGGGGCTGGTCCTGCTTTGAGCAGGGGGTTAGACTAGATGATCTCCTGAGGTCCCTTCCAGCCCTAACTTTCTGTGATTCTATGAAAACCACTCTGACATGTTGTGGTCTTCCTGAGTTCTTTGCTACAGAAGGATTCTCTCTCTCTTTTTTTTTTTTTTTTTTTTTTTTTTTTTT